ACTCTTAATGTTTGCTTCTTGGGGTGATAAACCCCATGGTGAGGGATATACCAAACTTTCCCTTCATCCTGTTTTAACTGATGTAACGGTACTATTTCAGCATAACCATGTTGAATTACCTCATCCATGAAATCTTTATATTCTTGATGGAAAATCTTGTTTATTTAAAAGTTTCTTTTCAATCCAATTAAGCGCTGTTTAGCCACACAAAGGTTGTTTGGCAACATGGGAGTTTCCATCCTAAAAGGAAGATTCAATTTATAATGTCCATCTTGAAACTCAATTGACTTGCTTACCTTTTCCATAAATGCATGCTCTTCTCTTGACATTTCCTTCTTTTCAACAGCATTCTCATTAAAGTCATGATTGTATTGTTTACTGAGCATATCCTCCAATGTTCTTACAGAAATCCTGTTAACAGTCACACCTGAACATTTGACCATATTCCTGCTTCCTTGGAGTGGTCCATTTACAACCCATCCCAATAGGGTTCTAACTGCATAAGGTCCATCTCCATTTCTGTTTATAACCTCCCAGGGCTCCATTACCCTGGAAGCATTTGCTCCAATCAGCAAATCCACATCAGCAGGAATTTGAGGAATCTCAACACCTTTCAGATATGGCCAATTTTCCAAATCCCTTTGAGTGACAGTGTTGTCTCTGGATACAGGCATTCTTTCTAGAGTGAAGACTTCTCGAAGACTATAAAAGGTGTCATCAAGAAGGTTAGACACTTCCAATCCAGTCAAAACCGTGCTATTAACAGCCATTTGAATGCCCGTTGTTTTCAAAACAATATTAGTTTGCTTTCCCTTTAATTTCAAACTGTGCATTAAGCGTTCTGAACAAAATGTGGCAGAACTGCCAGGATCCTAAAATGCATAGGTTTAAATTACCGTTTGTCCCTTACTGGATTTGACTTGAACTGGTACAATTGATAATGCACAGTCTCCATCGTCACCGGCTCCTGTTTTGCATGAGGAGATGTTGGAAACGCTATCATCTGGATTAACATCCTCTTGACATACCCTTTCATCCACACCAGAACATGAAACTTGACTTTCAGCGCTCAACCATTTCTCAACATCATCTACAAACTCATGGAAAATCAACATTTTTCCATTGAACCATGTTTGTTGTTTTTCCTTTTCTTCACTGGGCAAAAGAACCATCACGGAATTGTGCATTTCCTTTGTTTCGTCTCTCAATTTGATGAATTTCTCAAAAGAACACTGCACCTGCTTTTCAAATTCTTGGTTGGACATAAAATCCTTTATAATAGCCATTAAGTTCTTTGCCTTGCTTAGTTTACACTTTTTTGTCTTTTGCAGAGTTTCTAATTTTTCCAATAATGCCTTAGGAGTGAGCCTAAGGAGCCGCTTTTCCCTCACATGCTCTGTTTCAACCTTCTCAAACAGCACAATAGTCTCTGTCTGTTCACAGGTAGCCGCACCATCATCATCACAATTTATTAAACTCATATTTACAAATTAAAATCATTTGCTTTCATAGCAACTTTAAAACTTAAGCAACCAATGCATTGAATTTACGCTATTGTGTGCTCACAAAGTCATTCATTAAGTAGCGCTACACATACCTTTGTTTCATTCATTCAGTTCATCACAGCTGCTCCTCAAGAAAGTCCATAAATGATGCATGATGATCCACAAAGAAGCCATTTTTTTTGACAAATGTAGTGACACAAATGACCATTTTGTCACTTGAGGTGTTGTAGGGTTGTTTCTGACGCGTGAGATCTCAACAAACGAATAATCTTCCAAATACTGCTTATCAGGTTTATTTTTTTTAACAAACAGTTCTTATGGCTCAATTTCCACTCACAGTTTGGTACATAAATGCTCATAAAAATTACATTGAATGCCTCCACAAAGGTCTTTCCAAACACGGTCAAAAAATGTTGTGCTTCCCTCTAATTACACACCTGCTGTTCTAAGTCTATGTCTACCTATATACTCCTCCAAATCCACACTCCACCCAGTGGTCAAAAACAGCATTACAACAAACATAATGGCTCTTACAGACCTGAATTGTGTATTTTTGTCTGAACAATTTTCCCTTTGAATGAACCTGTAACGAGGAGTCTGACACAGAGGGATCCATTTGCAGTATATTTATTAAACACTGTATAATAACAAGCACACAGTAGGTACTGGTGTGCGAACTCACATAAAACGTAGTAATACTGGGTCGATAGGCTGGCGGCTGGCTGTCAAGGATAGTGATAGCAGGCATGGGTCAGAGGCAGGTGGCGTGGATCAAAGTCGAGGTAAAAGGCAGGGTTCAGGGCAGGCAAGGCAAGGCAGAGCAAGGCAAGGCAAGGCAAGGCCAAGAAACAGTCCAGGTAATAACGGGGAGGTCAGGCAAGGAGATGAATGCTCAGTAATGTCAGCAAGGCAGAACAAGACTTCGCACTAAAGTGATTGTTTGGGCTGCTTATATGTGTGTGCGTGGGTAATCATAGAGATGTGCTGCAGGTGTGTTGCAATCAGTGTTTGAGGATGACGTAATGTTAGAAGTCCGGTGATGATGACCTCTGCTGGCCAGCCATGGGAATGACTGGGACCAAGTCGGTGACAGAACCTCTCAAAATTGCAGCACCTGCTGCGCGATTACTCCCATATGACATCCATATATCATACCCTCACTGGCTTTTCCAAGTTATAAGGTGCGTTCGACTTTATGCAGCGCTGCGCAGATCGATCGAAATCTGTCTTAAAGCGGTGCATTCTGGTTAGAAATCTTGTTCGGATTGATGCTGCGCCGACGCCACGTGACTGTCACATGTGGCATCAAAGTACCGCGACAGCGCTCCGAGATCAGACGGCAGACTCAGACCGTGCAGCTTCTGAAGAGCGACTGCAGGAGCTCTGATGACGACACCGATATTACACGATTGGCCAAGTTTACTACATGACAACAAACACGTGTATTTTGGGTTTATGTTTATACATGGACAAATTCCGATTCAAAAGTTTCAAAACAAACAATTCACTTTTCACACCCTCTCTTTCTTGCACACATCTTGCTTATTAAAAGACCACAAATATTTTACTGCAGTAATCATCTTTTGTTAAATAATCTGGTTATAAAGGTTAGCTTGTTTGCACAGGTTTATTTTTAACTTTTTTATACAGACTATTTACTGCATTCATCTCCATGAACGATTTAAATGATATATTTTAGTGTATATTTTAGTGAATAACCTAAATATGAACTCAAATAAGTCTTACAGACTTGAAATAAGAAAATCATCATCATTGATCCTGCCAGTCTGCCACCCTAAAGCTCTCTTAACAAATTAAGTTAAAGAACTATTTTACTAAATAATTATAAAATGGTTTTATTATTATAATATAAATATATATATATTATTTCCTGTCTAGCAGTTTAAAGGCTACCTGCTCTTTCTGGGAAACTTCTACATAGCTCACTTATTTTACCTTTTGTTCTTTTCAACACAATCTTTTTGGATTAAAACGCTTTTTTGAAAATGCTTTCATTATCCAAAATAATCTCATTTATTAAGACCTAATCAAAACACCTTGTTTTGCTTTTTACGTTGGAAAATTTTATATCTATAAATGTACACATATGTAAACCCTTTTTTAGCATATTCAAACAAGAAGTATTAGCCTAAAGATTGATGTTTAACTCCTAGAATTTATACTTATTACTATGTATTTAATAGACCTGTTCGTTTTTATGTTTATGTTAACCTCTCATTTCCTCTTATTTCTCTCATGCATTTGTTATATGTTATTCATAATTCTCCCTTATTGTTTAAAAAGGAACTATAGTTTGTAGAGACTGTTTTCTGTTTTATTTGTAAATGTTTTGTTGTAATAAATGAAAAAATAAATAAATGATGATGACGCCATGTGATCGGTCATCATGACTGCAACAACTTTGATAAAAAGATCAATATTCATAAACTAAATTTGTGTTAAATGTATAAAGCAAATGACGACTGCATTTAGAAATCAGATCTTAAACGCAGCGATTTTGTATGGGATGACAATTAACCGGAAACCCTGGGGCTGGCTGACTGAAATTAAAAGTCTGTGTGCTTATAGCCCATTTGTTAACTGACCTTTGTGTTAAACATTTTCAACTAAAAACTTGAGATTATAATCAATGTTTTATTTTATGAGAGACGTCTCTACCACATACAATCTTTTAGAAGGACTCATCTCTATGGCTTAATCAGCTTGTTCTCAACCACATTCCTTTCTATTTTAAAATAATTTTTATTATTCTGCTAATACTTCCAAACATGCTTTTTTGTTGTTGTTGTGTTGATGCAGATATTGAATTATCTATAGATCAATGCTTCCATCATTTTAAAGACTGATATGTCTCTTTCAGTGACACAAGTCAGCAACCAGGGCATCATGTAGAATGCAGTTTCTCACTTGTATATATTCATAGTGCAGAAATATCACAACCACAGCCATATCACCCTGCAGCCCAAGACCAGTTATTCACTGAAGCTCCACCAAAAGCTGGTGTGCGGTGAGCGAACTAGCACCATTGTCCTGTGGCTGCCATCGCATCATCCAAGTGTATGCTGCACACTGGTGGTGGTAAGGAGAGACCCCCCTCATGATTGTGAAGCTCTTTGGGTGTATGGTCATACACAATAAATGTGCAATATAAATACACATCCCTTACTGCTTACTATGTCCAATCCAGCTCCTGGAGGACCACAATATTCTTTTTTTTTAGCTTCTTTCATAATAAAATACACCTGTACTAGTTAATCATGGTCTTACTAGGCTTAATGCAAACTCTAATTCTAATTCAGCAAATAAATGGACAAAAACATGACAAACACAACAGTTCAATTGACACAATTTTATTTCAATTCAACAATACATTTTTGGCAGCAACACTGCAAGACACAAATATTGCTGCTGCAAGCTCTGACACCAGACATTAGCAAGAAGCAAAGGACTGGAGAGGTGGTGAGGCCACTGGTGTTAGCATGCCTGGCTAATAAGCTCTTCCTGCATGACCAGGACCGGGCGCTCATCCTCCATGTCTGATGGTGAGATCTAAAGCAAAAACAAAAACAAAATCAGGTTTATTGTCCTCAAAAAAACTGACATTTTGAAAAGTTTTTGTAGATCATAGGTACCGTAAACCAGTCGTGGAGGAGAATCTGCTCCAGTTGTATCCTCTCGCTGGGATCGGGATGCAGACAGGCATTTATGAGATGACTGCATTCTGAAAGACAGGATTACTGTTTGACTATTACTTTAAACATCCTTTACATTACACTTCTCCTGATGGCATTTTGGACAGCTGAGCCAAGTGGCTTTGTCAGACACTTTTTTGTTTGATTGTTACAATTTTTTCAAGTTCTTACCACAAGACAAAGACGGCAGATACCAGAGCCAGTGCTGCATCTTTTCCCGATCCGTGTAGTCTGGCATATATCCGCACACCATAGTGTATAGCAGCACTCCAAGCGAATACACGGTTGCTGGCCGTGCAAAGTATTTGCCCGTTTCGAAAAACTCTGGAGGGCAGTACATCTCTGTGCCTGGAGGAAAGAGATTTGCATGTCTGAGTTACAACAGTTTGTTTTTACTGTATTCAGCAGCTTGTGTGCCATGACACTAAAGTTTTAATACTGTACATACCACTAAAAGTGTGGTACTCTGTTTCGTGGAACAGGTTCCCACAGCCGAAGTCAATCAAGGTGACATCCATGGTTTGTGTGTTGATGATCAAGTTCTCCAACTTTATATCTCTGTGGAATACTCCGCGCCGGCAGCAGGTCTCAGCTGCCTCGATAACCTGGCGCATCACATACCGAGCAAACCTTTCTTCAAAGATGTTGCCACAGCTCTCCAAAAGCTTGAACACACTCAGGCATGGTGAAGGGCGCTGCAGGACCATTATATAATGGTCTGGAAAGTCCTGCCAATCCAGCAGCTCGATTATGTTGGGTGAGCTGGGACCCTTGTTTGCCATAAGTGTGAGGCCGATTTCAAGTGGTACAAGTTCTGGAAGGCCAGGCTAGTGGAAAGAGTTTTTAGGATGGTTAAATTAAGGTGGTTTGCACAACATGTTTATAATTTGTTTATTGAGAGATAGTTTGCTGTCTATGATTAACACTGTTGAAAAAATAAAATAAAAACAGAGTTAGAGGAGATGAGTCTACTTACAACGTAGAGATATTCCATGCCCTCCATTTTTTTGGCAAACTTGATTGCCACCTGATCAACAAAACAGAATATAACAGTTAGCACAGGATTACTTCAGGCCATTCAATAATCCTTGTTGAAATTCTAGTCATGAATTTGTAGCATGTTTGGTCAGGTTGACCATTTATCAAGCGCTCTAATTGTGTAACAAAAGACAAAGCATAACACATAAATATAGTTTGTTAGGTTGATTATGCAAAAATATATGTAAATTTACCGGAAGACCATCATGGGCACGGACACCAGCATATACGGCACCAAATCCTCCTTCTCCCAGTAGCTCACCCATGTTGTAGGTCCAGCACATGCCTGTTCAAATATAATTAGTTTTAGAGACAGATTCATATTCTACAATGCAAAAGTTAAACTTTATTACCACTTTATACACCATTACGTCACTAATACATAATGCAGAAACATCTAATCCTTTCAAAAAGTGAAAGCATCAAGCAGCCATAATTAATATGAACTTACTCCCAATAATCAAGACCATGTCTTGGCTTGGGTTTTCTGCCAGAGGACACACAGTTTCTTCCTCTGACAGATCATCTGGAAACTCCTGGATTTGCTCGTCAACAGCGAAGAGAGGAATCTCAAAACTACTGTTGGGAGTGTTCTGAGGACCATAACTCTCTACAGAAGATATGGTCTCCACTGAAGTTGGATCTAAAGAGAAAAATATAACAATTATATATAAACACACAAACATTTCAATACTGCTACAAATAATACATTTATAGTATTTACAAAGACAAAACTGAAGAATTCAGATACACAAACATCTGCACATCTGAACATTTGAACTCTGCAAATGTTTAAAGCTATGATGATCTTCTTTAATGATTAAGTTCAGTAAACACAAAAGATGAAGAGATTTACCATCAGTAGACGTTTCTTCCTCCAGCTCCACATTCTCACACTGTTCCTGTATTTGCAGGTCAATGATGGAGGAAGGAACCTCAAGGCTGTTAGGAGCTTGCTGGTTGTCATGATGCTCAACAGGGTTTGGGATGTTTCCTACTGAGGTTTGATCTAAAGAGGGGTACATACATTCAACATTTACTTTAATTAAAACACACAGAAACGTTTCAATCCTTTTACAAATACATATATTTGCAGAGACAATATTTTAAAGCTATGGTGATCATTTTTATAAAAAAAAAAATTCCAGTCACACAAAAAATAAAGGGATTTACCATCAGTAGAAGGTTCTGCTTCGGTGACTGGCTTCACCTTCTCACTGTCCACCTGCTCCACCTTTTTACCCCTTCCAGTTCTTTGGCGTGAAAAGCGGAACAGCTTTCTCCAAAAACTCGTTTTTTTCTTCTCTTTCTTTTTCTCCTTTACCAAACTCCCTCCATCTTCCTCACAAGGAACGACACGGCTCTCATCAAGCTGATGGTTTTCTTGAGGAGGCGTGTCATTATTTAACTGAAGTGGTGTACTAGGATGTAAACTGTACACACACTCCGACTCTGTCGCTATATTCAGACAAGAAATTCGCTGACCCATGATAAAACAAACGCACTGTCTCACTCCAAACTACCCACTAAAACTAAATTACCGTCAAGCCTTAACATTCCACTTTGACGTTCTAATTATGACATCAAATAGAAAGACCTTGAGATCAATTTGTTTTGTTTTAAAATTTGCTGAACTACATATTGCATACATTATACCTGACAATTCTTATAGTAATGCCTAAAATAAAGCTAAAATAAATATTAAATCATATTATAAATGTAAATCTACTTGTTTTAATACTTGTTTAAACACTTTTATAAATATTTAATTCCGTACTTCTGCAGTATAATGCTGCGTCGCTAATACTTTCTTATTGGTTGAATTCTCTTTCTCAACCACTTGAGGGCGGCAAATATCATGGTATCTGAAGAGAACTGATAGTCCACATTACTTCATGATCTCAGTGGGAGTAGTCTACTTGAAGAGTTTTATTTCTTTTTGTATGTATATTTAATGTATAAGGAATTGAAGTCAGAAATTAATTAGAGTAGAGATGTGTGGATGGGATTTAATAACATAATAATGTGAATCTACTGAATCTAGTATTTTCCTTTCATTTTCCTTATAGGTTAGAGGACGTGTGTTTTTCAGGAAACAATTTTAATTAAATAAAATATATTTCAAAATGTTTGTTTAAATTATGAAGCTCGGCCTGGTTTTGATCTAACTTGTAACGGGTGTCAACAATCTCCAGCCACTCTTTTTCACACTTTCTGGCTTTGTCCAGCACTAAGCACTTTTTGGGCATCAATTTTTAAATCAATTTCTGAATGTTTTTTTTATAAGACCATGATTGCATATAGCCCATTTTTTCAAACTCTACCGAAAACACACACCAAGTCCACAGAGCACACTCTCTCTCATATATATATCTCAAAACACTATGGATTTGAGTGTGTCATTTTTTTTAGTTATCAACTGACCTTGAATTTTATGTTTCATGTGATTAACTAGGCTTGAAACTACACTCTACCGCAGTTTAAGTTAAAAATTCTGCTGTATTTAAGCAGCGTTTATAGCAACCTTCTTGCTGTGAGGCAACAGTGCTAACCACTGAGCCACCGTGCCACCCTATAGGTTTTCAGCTTTCTTCAAAATAGTCTGTAGTGTTCAATAGAAAAAAGAAACTTGTCAATGTTTGAAACCACTTGAGGGTGAGTAAATAGAGTGTAAATTGTAATTTATGTGTGAACTATCACTTTAAAGGTTACTCTATCTAGAGGATCAGAACAAAAAATAAAAACATTGTGCCACTGAAAAATAACGTATTAGAAGAATTACATCTTATTACACAGACAGATGTTTGAACATTATATTTTTATGTGAATAAATTAATGGTTTGGATGCTCACATTGCTTGAGCTGAACACCAGAAAATTGCATCCATTATGTGGCCAATAGGCTATGAACAGCTAGTGTTTTTCAGCCAATGAAAAAGTGTTTCAGCTAGTGTAGACAGCTAGTGTTTTTCAGCCTTTTTTTTGCATAACAAGAACAATAGCATACAAAAATGAGGAATACAATACTTATTTTTTTTTCACATCAAAGGAACAAATCAGTAGAGCAGGGGTCACCAATCTCGGTCCTGGGGTGCCGGTGTCCCTGCAGGGTTTAGCTCCCACTTGCCTCAAAACACCTGCCTGGATGTTTCAAGTGTACCTAAGACCTTGATTAGCTTGTTCAGGTGTGTTTGATTAGGGTTGAAGCTAACATCTGCAGGACACCGGCCCTCCAGGAACAAGTTTGCAGACCTCTGCAGTAGAGAATAAAAAAACAAACAAAATAAATTACAGGTATATATAAACCACAAAAATATTTGCATAAGAAAATGAATCCATAATTGCACACATCCTTGAAGCTTTTTTATGTTTTTATGACTTTTAGGGTTTCAATATAATGCTGAAAATCATTTTTAAACAAAAAAATATATGGCCTATCATTGGACCATTTTTGTTTGTGTACACGGTACTTCCTATATATTACCATTAAAATTAATATTTAATATTGAATAAATTAATATTGTTATTATAAACAAATTTTGCTCCACAGTTTTGTTATTACTATTGCATATTAAAAAAATAAATTTACAAGAAAACTAAATTTTTAATTTTGTAAGTTTAGATATAAGATATTCAACATCAAATCAAAACATTTGGGTATATGTGCATTTAAAAAAACAGGTTTTATCAATTCCTCCTCTAATTCACAAAATGTGCACGTAGATTCTAAGTCTCAAAAAAATTGTAACAACTTGTTTCACTGGATAAATTAGATGTATTAGTTTATATGTCACTTCTTTAACTTTATTGGTGAGACAGTATTTACTAGGTAAGTTTTAAACTTTTTTTCCACTCAATTCGCTCAAATAAGGAATTTTAAAAAGATTTGCATTTAGGCAACAATGTAGTTCTGCAAAACCTTTTAATGTAACAGTTATTCAATTTATTGTCTATAATTTTCACACCATTGATACTTAACTGATTACTAAGCAAAAGATTTGATTCAGTGAATACATTACCGAATAAGAGCTAAACAAGTCCACTAGAAATTGCATCAAATACTATTGCAAATTCTTTAGCAGTTATGGGGATCTTGTAATTGAAATAAATTCACAATAATTAAAAGTTGTCTATTCCTTTTGAATAACTGTATCATCAATATAATATCATTATTTTGTTTTATTAAAAAAAGCATTTTAAGGTCAAAATTATCAGCCCCTTTAGGCTATATTTTTCAATAGTTTACAGAATAAACCATAGTTATACAATAAAAATAAACAGCGGGGCTAATAATTCTGACTTTAACAGTTTATACTAAACGTGACGAAACTTCTGTTTTGGCTAATAATGTTTTTCTTTTAATTGACAAATCTCTCATTAACCATAAGTTTAATGTTTGTTTTGTTTTCTTAATAATTGGTGTAAAATTCAGTTTACTTCTCTCTTTTTGATCTTTACAAATTTTAGACCCAAATATTCTACCATCTCCTTCACTGGAATACCATATATATTAGTATCATTGCATATTTTCAGAGAGAACACTACACATTTTTTAATATTTAAACATAAACCAGATGCAGACGAAAAAAGATTGAGGCAATCAATAGCAGTTTTAATTTTAATTTCATTTTGTAGAAAAATGGCAGTGTCGCCAGCTAACTGAGAAACTGAGAAACTTTTAGTTCTGTCTCTAAAAATCTAATACCACAAAATCTATCTCTTTTAATATGCAGGGCCATAGTTTGTGTTACCAGTAAGAAAAGAAAGGCTGAAATAGGACAACCTTGACGTATGCCCAGAAAAATAGCTTTGTGGTCTGTAAGAATAGTGGGCAATATAGAGACCTCATCATTAACTATGGAGCTAATAATATGCCAAAACAATCTGAATTTGAATTGTGTTCATTTCAACTATCATTAATTGTATTTGAAAAAAAAATGAATTTTTATATGCCGCTAAAAAAGTTTAGTTTGAATTTTTTTTATTTGAATTTCATAACTTGAATATTATTGAACATCTGAAATTTAAGAAAACTTAATTTTTCAAGGCTGAATTCTTTTGTAGACGTATTTTCAAACTTTTTTGTGTTCTGAATTCCTAGACGGCAAATATCCAGTTTGTAAAAATACAGTTTCAAATTGTAACAAATAACATCTTATCTAATTTGCTGAAAAAGTGTGTGCATGCAAATATGTCATTTACCACAGTTGTAAAATGCTGGGACAGTTTGAAAGTGCACCTAGAAAGAGCTTGAAAAGTCTTTAAATGTGACTTTGGTAAAGTGTAAGAGCCCTGTGTCTGCTGAAATAACCCATCAGAGGTTACATTATAAAGGTAGGCCCACACGGAATCTGCAACTGCAGAATTCCACAGAATTATGCAGATTTTTAGCCCATCATTGATTCGGTTTATTTACTTGTGTAAATGTGTGTAAATTTATATTTATTCGGTTTTTAAAATAATTTCAGTATATTCAATATTTGTCTACAATATAGTTTGTAAATTCATATTATCTGTCTTTCAGCAGATATATTATATAAGAGACTTGCTTTGTTTACCAAATAATGTGGATCTAACTGGATTTGCATTGTAAACATTAAATATAAGTTATAAAAGTATTATTTTTTATTTCATATATTAAGGTTTTAGTTATAATACTCCTAAAATCATACAGCATAAATCTGCAGATTTTCTACAAAATTCAGTGCAGAAATAGCTATACTCCACAGCTCTGTGATTGGCCAAAGTGCTTAGTTTGACTTTTCTGTGATCGTCTACTCTTCCCTGTTGTTCACCACCTACTTTCTGCTAAATATATTTTTTTATTATTAATTTGTTTTCTTTTAGGCTTAGTCTCTTTAACTATTGTCAATAATTCAAATGAACACAATTCAAATTCAGATTGTTTTGGCATATTATTAGCTCTATAGTATGGTAGGAAAGAAGAGCTTGTGTATTTCAATATCTAATAATTAAAGGTTTGAGGTTTAAGACAAAATGTTTGGACTTAAAACCTTCAGCACAAACACAAAAAAGCCTCTATGTGCTCAAACATCATAAGATCAACTTGTAAACAGATTTCAAGCAGACCACGTGCACCAGAAAGAGCTTGGAAACTTGTCCCTAAAAGAAAACCACAGCCAGAAGACAAATAGGAGAGTGTGACAGAAAATAAACGCTATCACAGTCACAGTCAGGTCCTTAAATCTAAATTTATGCAATCAATTTTGTATAATCAAGGCATTTTTTATTAAATTATTTAAAGCCATATAAAGTTGGTAGTGATTATTATGATTTATTATATAATGCATGTGAGAAATAAGATATGTATTCATTTTGGAGCATTTATTTAATGGATAGTTCACCCAGCATTGAAAATTAAGTCATAATTTTCTCATCCTGTACTTGTTTGAGTTCCTTTTTTCTGTTGAACACAAAAGAAGTTAGTAGGAATAACATAAACGGTGGAAATCAACGGTTTCAAGTTTAT